GGCGTGTCTGGCTGGGGGGGCGGTGGGAGGGGGGTGGGGGGGGGGGCAGTATCACACACCACAAGGACCCTGGGTTTAAAGGGAAAAGGAACCGAAAAAAAAATTGGGGGACAGTTTCATCATATTGGCACGCAGGCATTAGCGGAATGCAAGAAAGCCCTCCTCCCCCCCCCACCCACCGAAAACACAAGCCTCTCTATGCAACGGCTTCTTGAGGTTTCAAGCTGGGCGGGGGGGTCGTGTGAAGAAATGATCTTCTGAGTAACTTCTAGTGCCATCGCAAGTTTAAAGCAGATTTGCCTGCCACCCACCCTCCAATATCGGGGGGGCTGATCCTCAGAAGCGTGAGGTGGCTTGATTTGGGACCCGAAAGGTTGACCTCTTGCCCCTCGGGCCGCTTCCCCATGGTGGAGCTGCCGTGTGCCAGTGAAGGAGGCCAAGAGGGGTGGGAGCGGAGGACGGAAAGCTGTACGTTCACATGGAGGACAGGAAGGAGGACAGGAAGGAGGCGCGTCCTCGCGCTGCTGACCCTGCCCTGAGATGGAGCGGACGCGAGACGCCGAGCTGGCGGGCAGAGTGCAAGGACCCCGCTTACGCCACACCTGACGGCGGCGTGTGACAGTTTCTTGGTCTGGAGGGCGGGGGTGGGGGTGAGGGGGGGGCACAAGGACATTCAGAGCGCCCCCTTGCGTTTGCATAGACACAGGCTCTGCGACGGCTGTCCTGCGTGTGTCTGTATCAGTTAGGATAAAAAGGAGGTCTGTTAGGGCCCCCGGGCTCATGTAGTGTTCAGAGTCCTTGTTAAGCAGCAGCTGACTTTGGGGCTGGAGGAGGTTCTCCCTTTTCCTGACCAATAGGGATAGGCAGCACGGTGCCAGAGTGTGCGAGTGGCAGGAAGGCCGACCAATGAGCAGATGCAGCAGCTAGAGGGGGAGGTCAGACCCGCTGGTCTGAGGGACTCGACATGTAAGCCCACCGGCACACCTCAAGATACAACCAGGACCTTTAAAATAAAATAACACACAAAAACGGAGGGGAAAACCCCACAGGCAGACCTGTGCAGTAGTAATCCCCCTAAATGCCATTCACACGGGCCACAATTACTGAGGCGCTCCTAACCGAAGTGTTTCTGCACACACGCTGTGAAGGGCTGGTAAGCAGCTACCGTGAAGACCAGGAAAGACATCAATATCAACAAAAAAAAAAACATGGAACCATTAACATCAAGATTTCTAACAAGTACAGCTACATAAACCACAAAAAATACAACACTGCTGATTCCAGAACGAGAAAAAAAAACAAACAAAAAGAACTCGACTGTCTCAACTTTCCAGCTAAAGTGATCTAGGTGAGGAGACGGGGCAGGACAGACGGGGAGGTGAGCTGGAGCACAGACGCAGTAGTACTGATCGGCCAGTTCTGATGGCGGCGCCGTCCCCAGCCGGCACGCCCAGGAGGGACGGAGCGCTGCTGTAGAAATCGCACAGGTCGCCACGGGCTCCACAGCAGACAGGCACTCAGTGGCCAAATTTATCACATGACTTCGGCGGGGCCTCCGCACAAAGAGAGCCCCCCCCGCAGGATCCGTGTAGAATTGCATGTCTAGCATTTCCAGGCTAAAAGGCTAAACATGGCGGAGTAACAGTGATGTTTACTTGGATGCTTAAAAAGCAAATGCTTCGGAGTTTGCCTCATAGCAGATAATTGTCTTTTTTTTTTTTTTCTTTTTTAAATAAATCTCCCCCCTCCCCCAAACCCCATTTTATCCAGCTACCTTTTTTAAGTCCATTCCAGTCCCTGGACCAAGGAGGGACCAAACAAAATGAAAGGGAAACAGAGAGATACAGTACAAACAGGGGTTGGGTTTGGGGTTGGGGGAGCCACGAGGAGCATCCAGCCCCCGCCCCCTTTCTGTGTTGGCATTGTGGCGTGAGCTTTCCACTCCCCT